CAGTGCCTGATTGTTCCCCGCCCCTGGCAGCGAGGCCCCACTGGCCTCGGCGTGACTGGCTCTTTGCTATCTTGTGTTCTCTCCTCCCCCCTCACCCCACTCTGTCATTCTCTCTTTTCCTCTCTCTAGTTCATGAGTTCCAGGCTCAAGTGGGACATTAGTAACCATGCGGATGCCAGGACATCCCCAGAGATTAGGAATCAGCAGGTCCAGGATGGGGGCCCATGGTTCAGATACAGGGCAGGACCTGGGAGGACCCCACTTTGGAAAGAGCCTAGGACCAGAGCCAGAAGACCGTGGGCACCACTGGCCTTCTTTGAGCCTCCACCGAGTGTGAAATGGGATCTTGGGACACTTACGAGCGAAGTCAGCCCCACAGGAAGGCTGTGAGGACATGTGACAGACGGGAATGTGTTCGCGCCCCCCTTCCCCTCCGATCTGCCACACCCCCACCTCTGTGTCAGGTCTGTCCGTCTCTCTGTTTTGTCCCATCTGTCGAGTGGTCCATCTTTGCTCCAGGATACACCACACCGTCCTGATCACTACAGCTTTGTAATAAGCCTTGATAGTTGGCAGGGCAAGGGCCCTACCTTCTATGAGTGTCTCAACTATTCTTAGCGCTTTGCCCTTTCTTACAGCTTTTAGAACCAGCTTGACAAGCCCCACCGACACGCCGTGGGGGTTTGATCAGGACTGAACTGAATCTAGACGGGAATTTGGGAAGAACTCCATGATACTGAATCTCCCTGTGCAAGCTAATGGCTGTCTCTCCACATTTCCTTAGGTTTCTTTCTTTTGCTTTTTATGAAGACAATGTCAAGTGTACAAAAAGAGAGAGAAAAGGATAACAAAACACTTTTTACCTGTTACCCCTCGTGGCCTCTCTATGTTCAGCCATAACCCTGTCCCTTCCTGCCCCTTCTCCTTCCCCAGAATTCCTTATTTTCAAGCAAACTTCTGGGGTCTTCTTTAATGTCTTCTAATAATGTTTTTAAATTTTTGTCTTACTTTTTGTTTCCGAATAGTTACAGATTGAAGGAAGTTGCAAAAACAGAATAGCTCAGCTGTTAAGCGTCTGCCTTCGGCTCAGGTCATGGTCCCGGGGTCCTGGGATCGAGCCCCGTGTCGGGCTCCCTGCTCGGCGGGAGGCCTGCTTCTCCCTCTCCCACTCCCCCTGCTTGTGTTCCCTCTCTTGCTGTGTCTCTCGCTGTCAAATAAATAAAATAAAAAATCTTTAAAAAAACAAAAAACAGAATAGAGAGTTCACGTGTGCCCTTCACCCAGCTCCCCCCAATGGTGACAGCTCGCATCACCGTGGTACTTCACCCAAACCATCCACCGACCTTGTTCACATTCCACTCAGTTTATATGTGTTTGCGCATGTGTGCACGTGAGTGTGTGTGTGTGTGTGTGAGTGTGTTGCCATGCAGTTCCCTCCCCTGTGTGGATTCGTGCAGTCGCCACCATGAGCCAGACACTACGAAGACCTGTCATGCTGCGTGTTTGGAGGACCCTTCCCTCTCTCCTCCCCACCCTTCCAGCCACTAATCGGTTCTCCATCTGTCTCTATACTTTTGTCAGTTTGAGAACGTCACATTAATGAACCACACAGCGGGTAACCTTTCGAGATAGGCTTCTTTGACTTAGCATAAGTCCCTTGAGCTCCATCCAGCTCATTGCGTGTATCAATAGTTATTTCCATTTTATTGACGAGTGATATTCCGTGCTCTGGATGTACTAATTTTTTAACCATTCACTCACTGAAGGGCACTTAGATGCATTGAGGGTTGTTTTGTTTTGTTTTGTTTTAGTGAGCTCTATGCCCAATGTGGGGCTCGAGCTCACGACCCTGAGATCAAGCGTCGCATGCTCTACCAACTGAGCCAGACAGGCGCCCCTGTTTCTTATTTTTTACTATTACAAATAATGTTGCCATGCATAATCATGTATGTACTTTGTGTGGATATTTTCTCTGTAACAAATGCCTAGAAGTGCAGTCTCTGGGTCATATGGTAAGTGTATGTTTCGTTTTTTAAAAAAACCGCCAAACTATTTTCCAGAGTGGCTGCACCTCAGTAACATTTTATGCTTTTCTCCGTAGGTAGTTTTTTAGATTCAATTTTTGTTATTATTGTAAATGGGAGATTTTTTAAAATGATACTTTGCTGGCTCTGATGTTTATAAATGGCGATTGCTTTTTATTGAAATCTGATTTACACAATATAAAATTAATCATTTTTAAGCGTACGGTTCAGTGGATTGTTAGTATGTGCACAAGATGTGCAACCATCCCCACTATCTAATTTGAGAATATTTTCATCACCCCAAAAGCACCCACTAGCAGTCACTCCCCATTCCTCCCTCTTCCCCTCAGCCCCTGGCAACTGTTAATCTACTTTAGGTCTCTATGGATTTGCCTATCTGGGAAATTTTGTATAAATGGAATCATACAACATGTGGCCTTTTGTGTCTGGCTTCTTTCCCTTAGCATAATATTTTCAAGGTTCATCCACGTGTTGTAGCCGCAATTAGTTTTTGATACTGATTGATATAAGAATATCCTGTATCTCTGTTAGATTCTGTTCATGGTTAATTTCATAGATTGTTTTGGGTTTTCTATGTAGATAATCATGTCATCTGCAAATAGGCCAGTTTTGCTTCTTCCTGTCCAATCCTTATACCTTGTCGTTTTTGGGTTTTTTTCCATCTCTTACTGCCCCATCTGGGACCTCAGGTACGATATTAAATAGACACATGGATGCGGGCAAACTTGTCTTGCCCTGGATTTTAAGGAATTTTGTCCATTGTCCCTTTAAGAACCACGTTGGTGCCGGGTTTTATAATCTTTATCAGTTGAAGGAAGTTCCTTTCGATCCAATGTTCGCTAAAGCATTTTTATCATAAGTAGATGTTGAAATTTATTGCCAGTGCTGGGAGGATCATGTGACTTTTCTCCCTTAATTTATTAATGTGACAGATGGCATTAATAGATTTTCAGATGTGAACCACCCTTGCATTTCTAGAATAAACCCAATCGGTCATGATGGATGTATCCTTTCTCTTCGTTGCTGGATTTATTTTGCTAACATTTTATTTAGGGTTCCTGCATTGAACTTCACAAGTGGGACTGGTCTGTAAGTTCCTGTGAATGTACTGTTAAGTGGAAAAGAGTCATCTCTGAGCTACCATGTCTCTCTCAGAAGATCTCTGTCTCATCTCTGTCTCTCTCAGGTCCCTCTCTGTCCCTCCCCATACATGCTGCTCCTGCGGCTGGCAGAGGGTGGGGACCACCCCCTGGCCCCCCAAGGCAGCCACAGAGGATGGGAGCTTCAGAATCAGGACCTTGAGCTTTGGAAGGGTCCACAAGGCTGTGACTCCCCCGACCAGCCCAGGGGGTCCTGGGCCTCTCATTGAAGAGGGAGGCTTAAGAGAAATCTTCCCCTCCCTTCTTCTTCTGGTGGGGAAGCCCTCCAGAGGAAGTGGCTAAGAAGGGCCCAGGGTCAGGGGTTAATGACCCCATTGTGCTCAGGGCTGATGGATGGCCCAGCTTGTCAGTGGCGGTGGCGGCCCCAGGGACATCCCCTTTCCCCTCCCAGCAGTCATCTGAGGGAGGCCTCCCTGCTGGCCTTTGATAGCCGCTGAGGGCCGCCCTCCCTGCCATGGGGACACAGGCCAGCCTCTTTGGTGGGCTCGCGTGTGCCGAGGCCCCAGAATGTAGGCCTGTACCCGTTCTGCTTCCCACCCACCCCCACTCCCTACCGCCTAAGTGGCCGCAGTGGGGGTTCTGACCAAAGGCGCCAGCCATGCCCCTCGCTCCCCTCCCCCTTCTCGCCCATCTCGGGCACCCCGTACAGGCTGTCCCATGCCAGCCCTGCCCTCAGGTGAACGACCACGTCCTCAGAAGTGACCGGATGCAGCCCAACTCTCCCCCATTTCAGATGGGAACCGGGTACGACCTGGCTTAGGCTCTCCTCAGGGGCAGCAGCAGGGGACAGCCAGGTCCCAAGACTTCCTGCTCGGACGTGCCCCTTCTGAGGCCAGGGCTGGATGCTGAGGTGAACCAGATGCATCGCCCCCCCTCCAGGGGCTCACAGGCTGGCAGGAAGGGGGTCAGAATGTGAAGAGAAAGGTAGCACTGTGGTAAACTCAGTAAGCACAGATTCCTACGGTATCAGAAGAGGAGCCAGGAGGGCAGGAAGGCTTCCAGGAAGAGGTGACGCTTGGCCCATTCTAAAAGGGTGAGCGGGGGCGCCTGGGTGGCTCAGTTGGTTAAGCGACTGCCTTCGGCTCAGGTCATGATCCCAGGGTCCTGGGATCGAGTCCCGCATCGGGCTCCCTGCTCTGCGGGGAGCCTGCTTCTCCCTCTCCCACTCCCTCTGCTTGTGTTCCCTCTCTCGCTGTGTCTCTCTCTGTCAAATAAATAAATAAAATCTTTTTAAAAATAAATAAATAAATAAATAAATAAATAAATAAATAAATAAATAAAAGGGTGAGCGGAAGTTAGACCAAAGGGGGCGGGCGCAGCAAGGAAAGGCATTCCAGGTAGAGGGAACAGCATAAGCAAAGGCACAGAGTAAAACCAGCATGGGGTGTATGTGAGCCAGAGCACTTCAGTGGTGAGACGTGAGGCCAAGCAGATCAGCAGGGCCAGGTCTTCCAGGGACTGATACGCCCTGTTAGATGCTTAGACTAGGCAGTTTGTCACTCAGGTGGGGAAAAGAGCTGAGAGCCAGGTTCTAACTGTGCCTCCATCCGTCCATCTTTTCTTCATTCATCCAGCTCCCTGAGGAGCAGTGTGACCTGGGGCAGGTCACTTCCTCAGGAACAGACTCCCACAAGCTGACCCCCTCTGGGCTGCCTGGTCCCGGCCCCCAAGTGGCACCAGGTGAGTGCAGACCACCTCCAGTGAGGCCAGCATGGGGCACGGTGCGCATAGGCTGTTCTCAGTCCCAGGATGGAAATCGGGTGTGGGGGACAGGAGCTTGAAAGAGAGGGGTTCAGGGTGAATAACAGGTCTGCTTTTTGATCGTCCGCGAGAGCATCACGGAACCACACCAGCTCTGGATGGCCTAACGGGGACTTCCTGTGACCGGAGGTGGGGGGAAGCAAGCAACCCCCTCAATGGTATTGCGTTTTCCATTATTTGTAGTCAAGATGCCTTCCTGATTCAAGCTCTACCTCCAGCTGAAAAATATATAAACACACCCCAAGATCTTATATGTTCATGCAAGAAGATTTTCCAGAGACGTGGGACTCCTTAAAGAGGCTACACACCACACCTTCATCTCCAGTAACTTCAACATTGGAAAGCGTTTATTGTAGAAATTTGGAAATACGATAAAAGACAAAGCCTGAAAACGTTCCAGTCACTCGCGGTTCCACCACCCAGAAATAACAAGGTTAGCATTTTCTAGTTTTCTTTCAGGTTTGTTCCTGTAATTGTTAAATGAAGTTGAGCTCACAGCGTGTAGTTTTTTTTCTCTTGGCTTTTTATTGAATTACACATATGCCCGTAGCATTTCACGTCTTGCTTTTCACTTAAATTATACCAAAAACATTTCCTATGTCCTTAAAATTCCTCATAAACATCATTTTTTAAAAGATTTTATTATTTATTTATTTATTTAGCGAGTGTGCACGCGCGAGCTGGGGCAGAGGGCGAGGGAGAATCTCCTGGAGACTCCCTGCTGAGTGCGAAGCCCGATGCGGGGCTCAATCCCACAACCCTGAGATCATGACCTGAGCCAGACGCTCAAGTGACTGAGCCCCTCAGGCGCCCCCATAAACATCATTTTTAACGGCTGTGTCATACTCTGTCACAGGCCTGTGACGGTCCCCGACCACTGAGCATTAAGGGGGTAGCCAGTGGGTCATACTCTACATCTTTGGGCAGAACTATTTATACTGAATTTGTTTTAACAAAGCGCCATGGAAATCGGCCTCCCCTTGTACCTGGTCGTGACAGCAGTGACGGACGGCATCCCCGGGTCTTGGGGCGCACAGCCGCCAGGCAGGGCCTGTGTCCCGTGCTTCCCCTGTGGCTCTGTGTCCTCCCTTGAAAGTAGGTGGCAGATGCTGTTAGCAATGAGGCCAACTTAGCAACCCTGTTTTTTATTTTATTTTGCGATAAGAATTAACATAAGATTGACCCTCTTAGCAAATTTTTAAGGGTAAGGAGCTGTTTTCCTCTGCCTGCACTGTCCCTCCGTCCGTGCTAATTTCTGCTGACTTTCCTCTTCTTCTGCTCTGGGCTCCGAAATCAGAGCACCAGCTGTGGAAACTGTCAGAAGGGGGAGGACGGGGGCTCTGGGTTCAGGACTCCCTCGGGAGACGTGCTGATGGGTGGGGGGCCATAGCAAGGCTTGCCCTCAGAGTCTGGTCCACTCAGCCCCTCCCGGGAGGGAGCACAAGGAGTTCCGGGGGGAGGGGGGGTGCTTGGAAATGTGGAAGAGCATATAAGCACGCAGGCCATCGGTGTCCAGGCCCTACTGTGTGCCGAGCTGGGGACTGGCAGCCAGTGGGGCAGGAGGGAGGTGCCTGGAGGCCGTGGGAAGCGTCTGGGAGCCGCTTTGCCTCCTGCACTGGGCAAGGGGATGACAGGCTGCCCCGGACCAGGAGAGGAACACCTCCAGGAAGCTGCAAATAAGCTTCTGGACGACAGGCCATGGCTCCTCAGGCATGAGCACATGGTCTGTGCTCAGAACAGCCAGAAGAGAAAGGACACTGCCATTTTAGACCCGGGCCCCCTCAGCCCAGCCACTGCCTGTGCTGGGTCCTCCCCTAGCTCCAACCACCCTCTCTGATCCCCAAGGCGTCCTTCTTCCAGGGCCTTCTGTGGAGACACCAAACCTCAGGACCCCCTGCAGCCCCTTGCCTCTCCATTCTGGTCCTCCATCACAGAGGAGAGGCCCCTGGGCAGGAGTCCCTTGACCTCCCCTCCTTCGGCCTACAAATGACTCTGCAGCTCCCATCCCATTCCCTTCCCTCCCTCCAGCTGGAGGGCCCCCCATCCAGCTCAGGACCACCCCACCCCCACTCGAGGAGCCCCTCCCCCACGTAGCCCACCTCTGCGATGCCCCATCAGCATCTCTTCTATGAACAACCTACGATCCTCGAGTCCCCTTCAGCCATTGCCCTATATCTCCCCTGGTCTTCCCAGCCGAGCTTCCCGGAAGACCTGTCTCCACCTGCTGTCTATACTTCCTGGCGGAATGTCCCGCCATTCTCCCCCGGCCCCTGAGCCTGCTTTGGGACCCCCGCCCCAAGCTCTCTCCCTATCTCTCTGAGCTACTTTGCTGGCCCCCTGCCCTCTGTGACAATGCGTCTCCTTCTCTGACCCCCTCTCCTGCTCCCAGCTGGGCACCTCTCCTCTGCCCAGGTGCCCACTCTCCCTGAGGGAGCATCACTGAACCACCTCCTCTGCACTCCCGGATCCCAGTCTCCAGACCCATGAAACCAACTGTCTCCACCTGGGGGTCCCTCAGGACCTCCAACTCCACCTGCCCACCACCTGACTGACCTCACCCTACCTGGTCCCCCACCTGACCTCCCAGGCCATACCCACTAGTGTCCCCAGTCCTGTTCGCCCCCCCATGCTGTCTGTCCAGCCCCTCTATGCCTCTTCAGGCAGAGCCATGCTCATCCCCTCTGACGCTCTCCAGACCTCCATAGCCTCTCTTCCAGCCCTCGCATCTTCCCTGGCTCCCACTGCCTACAGAAGAGAGCCCCTTGTCCCCCTGTCCAGCCCCCTCGTCTCCTGGGCCCCCTACGCTGGCTACACCAGGTCACCAACTATTTCCCAAAGCACCGCCATTTCCCTCACCACGCCTCTGCTCCTGCCGGCATCCCGCTTGCTACCTGTCCCCAGAAACTGAAGCCCAGCCCGGGGTCACCGCTCCCTGTAGCTGCACACCTTCCGGGAACCCTTTGCCCAGGGTCTTGTCATCAGGCAAAATGTCTGCCCCCCAGCGGGCTGGGAGCCCCCAGGGCCTTTAGCCCGGACTCTGGCCAGCAGCGACGGCAGCACCCCCGCCCCACCACCAGGCTCACTGTGGGGCAGCTGCGCTCCAGGCCCTGGGCTCACAGCTGGGAACCAGGCCGTTTGTGCCAGGACGCCCCAGGCCCTGCCCCTAACGCCCATCAGCCCGAGAATTACCGTCCTCTGTGTGCCGGCCCCCCGGCCCTCATCCCTGGAACCTTTCTGCTCCCCTACTGCGCACCCCATCCAGCCCTCCAGCTCTGCACCCTTTTGAGCAAACTGTGTGCCCTTCACCCACCGTCAGGCCCCAAAGAGGTCCCAAGAGCAGAGCTGGCCCCATCTCCCTGCTGGCCTCCCCCGTCACAGAGGCAAGGCCTGGGGCCCGTGGGGGTGGCAGAGGCATGGGGAGGGGAGCTGGCCGGACCACGTACCGAAGGGGCCAATGAGGCAGGCCTGCGTCCTCCTTCTCTCTTCTGCAGATGCCCCCACCTCGGCTCACACACAGGCAGCCCTCAGAGCCTCTCCCCGCATCCCCAGCCTGGGCCTGGGCCCTGGGTCAGTCAGAGCCCTGGCCAACCGGGGCAGTTGGGACCTCTCACTGTCCATTGGGATGGAAGTGAGGATGGTAACGGGGCCCCTCAGAGGGTTTGTTGGGAGGATTTTAATAAGGTAACACAAGGGCTCAGGATAATGTCTGGCACAGAACAAATGCTATATAACGTCTGTTGCACCAGCTCCAGAGGTGGGGTTCCTCCACCCCCCACAAGCCTCCCACTTGCCCCAGGATCTTGTTTCACCCTCGGCCACATCCGCAGCCCAGACCTTTCTCCTAGACGCCAGACTTCCCGGGCATCTCCTCCCAGACTCAGCGTGTCCACCCCAAGCCTGCCCGTCCTGCGGTGTCCCTTGCTCAGGAAATGAAATGACCTTCTGCCGGGTCACCCAGGCCAGAAACCGAGGGGCATCCTTGATGCCTCCCTTCCCGTCCCCCGCCTGCCCCCCACCATCTGGTCCATCCGTTCGGACTGTGTCCCCCTCCCCCGGTGGCAGCCCACTGGCAGGCCATCAACCAGCTCAGGGGTCACTGGGCTCTGGCGTCCAGGGCACTTCCGTCTCCCACTCACCAGCCTCGGGGCCTCAGGCAAATCACTTCACCTCTCTGTGCCTCGGTTTCCTGGACAATAAAACAGGGGTGACCATAATGCTTGCTTCATTAGCTTGTTTTGAGGATTATAAGAGTAAAATGCTCGAAGAGCTTAAGCCCTTGATCAACGTTGGTATCATCCTCTCGCCCGGATGACTCCGCCCCTCCCCACCTGCTCCTCGCCTCCGTCTCGCCCACAGCGCATCCTGCGCACATAACAGAAAGATACCAGGTATGGAGCGCGAACCTCATGCAGGACACTGAGCAAAGCCCTGCCATGCACTCCATCCCTTCGCCATTTCGGCACCCCCAAGAGACGGGTGTTGTGACCCTCGTTTTACAAACGAGGGAGCTGAGGCCCAAGGTCCTACAACTGCAGTTAACCACTACCTCGGGGTACACTGTTGGTATTCGTGTATTGATTCAAAACATTTATTGAGCACCTACTGTATGCCAGGCACTGAGGTGGTTGCTGGGAAAACAGTAATAAACCAGACTGGCACAGACCCAGCCTGTATGATCTTTCTAGAACACAAATCTGACCCCTTGAAATCTGACCCCACTGCCCTCAGGATCTAGTTCATGTACCTTATCGGGGCATCCTAGTCCGCAGGAGCCCCCCGACTGCCCTCGGCAGCCCACACGCTTCCTCCCCTGCCCACCTCTCCCACCTTCCCTGGCCCCACTCTGCTCTGACACACTGGTGTGGGCCCTTCACCCCATTACACACCACCCACCTTCTCCTCCCCGGCCCCAGCCCCACCCCCTATGCCAGCCCCTTTCCCACCTTCTGTCTCAATTTCTTTGCCTAGTTCACTTATCCTCGTCTTTTCAGGTCCCATCCTCAGTCACCTGCTCCAAGAAGCCTTCCCTCCTCAACCTCCCAGCTAGTGGGTGAGCTCGCAGGCGCCCTGCCTTGCAGCCTGCTGGCTCTTCACTGAATTATGTCTCCTCCTGGACTGTGACTCCTTGAGGGCAGGCCCAGGGATGTGTTCAACTCCGAATAAATCTTCCCCCTCTCTCTCTGTTGCCCCCAGCCGCCCATCCATCCATCCGTCCGTCTGTCCCCCATCTACTCATTTTACCTCTTCCTGCTGTGGCCCGAAGGCCCCAGACCCAGCTCGGTGGTTACAGGTGAGTGCACGGCACGCGGGGTCTGTTCCACGGCTCTGCAAACACGGGGACAGAGTGAGATGGAGGAACTGGGGGATGTTTGAGCACCTGAGCACAACCTCCTCAACCACAGACAGGCTGGCTGGGCTGCCGTGACCGACCTGAGCCTCCTCCCCAAGCCCCTGGGCCTCCGCAGGGGTGGGCAGCCGCCCTGCAAAGAGACAAGCAGAGCTGGAGTCGGTTGGGTGAGCGCCAAGTCCTGGCTATGTACCCGCTCTGTGCATGTTTCCTCATCTGAAAAATGTCGTCAGCCTGTGCCTGCCTGTCTTGCAGGACTGTGTGAGGGGGCAAAGGAGGGGACAGTGGACAGAGATGGAATTCCCTGAGAGCGACACTTCAGCATCTGCCTGCCTTCCTGACACTCCCATCTTGGGCACAGTCTGCTCCATCTCCAAAAAAATTCCAGGAAATTTGGTTTTAGGCTTCCATCTCAGCGTTTCCCATCGGTCAGGGCATATTCTGAGGGCTCTTCCCTGGAGGGGGGGGGGCGGGGGGAGCACATGGCTCGGTCTGGCTGCAGCACCTGCTCACTGCGCCCCTGGCTGGAGCAGACACTCACCCCACGGAGTCTCCACCTGCGGAAGGCGGGGGCGACTCCCGCCTCGGGGGCTGCTGTGCGGGGCTCAAGCAAGATGGTGGCTGCAGCAGGGTGTCTTGTCTCAGTGCAAGGAGGCGGCCCGGGTCGGGGCGGCCAGTGGGAGGGTCCCTCTCCTCCCTGGAGAATAGGAGGTGCTCCACGAGACCTCCCGCTGAGCCCCAGCCACCCCACTGTGGCTTCCCCAACCCCGCAAGCCTCTCAGGAGCCAGGGCCCACCGGGAATGGCCACTCTCAAAATGGCCGCCACGGCCACAAGGCCCCTGCTCTCCCCGGGCGCCTCGGGAGAGGGAGGGCACCGCGGCCAGACCACGGTCACTCCTCGCAGCCCAGGGGTGCAGTGTGGGGCGGGAGGTGGGGAGGAGGGAGTCGGGGTGGGTGGGGGGCCGGGGAAGAGCCAGAGAGAGGGGCAGGGAGAGGAACAAAAGGTCCCTTTGTGGAGTGGAGCAGGGAGAAGAGGGAGCGCATTACCCAATGCCCAGAAGCCATGTTGGTAACAAGAGAACCATTCTCTGCTTCACTTGGAAAACAACTTGGAGCAGAGAGAGACAGGGAGAGATTTAACCCCATGGGCGCGGGGCACAGGGGCCTGAGGCCACTGTGGGAGGTGGGGAGGGAGTGAGGGCATGCTAGGGGGCCTTTCGGGCCCTGAGCAGGGCGATTTCCTGTCTCCCAGGCCTGGTCTGCGGTTCCCAGGTCCAGAGGCCCAATATGGCTGCTTGGCCAAGTCCCAGCAGCCTTTGGACCCGGGGACTGGAGCCACGGCTTCTGCTGCCTGGGCCTGGTCAGACCAGTGACCCATGCTTGCTCCAACTGCAGAGCCTGGCCCACCCCAACCTCGGGGAGGACTCCCCTGAATCCTTACATCTTATGGCTTCAGGTCCTCAGGCTTGTTGGACCCAGTTCCAGGGCCTCCAGCCTCCACTTGCCTCCTTTTGCTGACAGGGAGCACATTTTCTCCTGAGGAAGTCCCTTCCTTGTTGTACAGTGTTGCCTTTCGAAAATTTTTCCTAAAATTTAATTAAATCTCTTTCATCCCTAGCTTTCTCAGCTTTCTCCCCTTCCCCCACTTTCCACCCACCAGCCCTGGTTCTCAGGCTCCTAGAGACTACATCTGGTAATACAGCAAATAAGGCAAAAAAAAAAAAAAAAAAAAAGCTATGGTGCTCTGGGCACTTCACATATATTCACTTAATGACCATTGCTACCTTGGGGTCAGCTGGGCTCAAGTGAGCTGCTGTCCCCTCTGCTGATGCTACCTGTTCTAGAAACACCTAACATAGGGCCACACAGGGGAGGCACTCCATGAATAAGCAGAAGAAAGAGGTCTTTCCCTCACCACCCCTTCCTCCCTTCTTCTACAAAAAAGAGTTGGGCACTAGTCATGTGCACTGTCCCAGCTCTGGGGTTACAGCAGTGGACAAAACAGACCACCCCTGCTCTCACAGAGAGAATGTTCTTGTCAGGCTGGACAATAAACCAGCGAATATACAAGCTAATGTCCGGTGGCCACAGGCTCTATGATGGCAAACAAAGCAGGGCCAGGGGAGGGACCAACAGGAAGGATGTGCATTAGGAATGGTGATCAGGGGAGGCCCCTGGAAGGGTGTGCTGAATGAAGAGAAGAATGTCTGGGGCAGAACGTTCCAGACAGTAGGAACAGCATGTGCAAAGGCCTTAAGAGGGAATGTGCCAGAGAGTCTAGGAGCAGCCAGGAGACCAGAGTGGCGGGAGCAGAGGGAACGAGGGGAACATGGGGAGGCCAGAGAACAGGGGTCAGATCATGGGGGATGCTGGAGGAACATGTGAGGGGCCCACGGGAGCTTGGAGCAGGGAGTGGTGTGGTCTGAGTATCGTGTCAACAAGGACACTGTGACTGCCATGCAAGGAATAAACTGTAAGAGGTCAAGGGTGAGGGCTAGAGACCCGCCAGCCCTTCACGCCCTATGTGCTCCCATCCCTGGTGGCTACTCCCCCCATGTTGCCCACCCCCTCATAAGTATGGTCCAATCATTCTTTGAATTAGTGATGAGCCAGCACCCGCTATGTTAAGGATGGAAAGAGGCAGGTTCCTAAAGAGAACAAGGCTGCCCCCCCCGCCGCCGGGAGCAGTTCATAGTCATGGGGTTCCAGGCCCCCACAGTGGAACCATTGAAGGGTGAACCTGGCCCACGGTCACCCCACTTGAAGAACAAAGCCTCTTCTTTGGGAAGTTTTTACAGTCCCACAAAGAACTCTCAGGACATTGCCCCCCCTGAATCCCACAGTGCTGAGATATTGCAAGTGGTCCAGCAAAGCAGGGCCCACCTCCCAGCTCCCACCTCCCAGCTCAGGCCGGTCCCTGGCTTCCCAGAGCCGCAGGTTCCCCGTCTGTAAAAGCACACACACCTCGCGGGTTTGATGTGATCATAAAAAGGCGGCACTTCCTTCTTCAGGGGGTGGAAACTGAGCCTCCAAGAGGTGAGTGACAGCTCAGGGTCACCAGATGGGAAGGGGCAGCGCCTCCCCACCCCTAGTGAGGGCTTTCCCTGCACCCTCTGTGTGCTCCCAGGGCAACTGTGGGTACCTCGGCTCAGCCCCGGCCACGGCCTGGAGCGGTGGGGTGGGGCGGGGCAGTGGCCACAGAGAATAGTGACAGTATTAGGGGACCCTCCAACGGCAGACAGGCCAGGGGGTAGGGAAGGAAGGCTGCATGGCCCAGAGCGACAAAGGCAGGACAGACTCCGGAGTTCCAGCTGAACAGGAAGGAAACATGCCCCTACTAGGCCCCAGCCCGGGGCTCTGCACCGGGGGGCAGGTGACAGAGAGAGACAGAGACAGAAACGAAGAGACAGAGAGAGAAAGCGCGAGTGAGGGCTGTGGTCCTGTCTGCTCCCCACCTTGCTGTGGGCCTCGGGCAGCCCCTTGACCTCCCTGACCTCTGCATCAACTGTCGGATGGTCCCTTATCCCTCCTGGCCCCATAGGACGGTAGCGAGGGTTGGGCATCTGGGTGGGTGTAGAGCCAGCATGGACGGAGACTGCTACCGGTGGGGTTAGCGGTTCCTGGGCTCCCGCTAGGTTCCAGGCTGTGCGCCATTTACAAGAGAATCCAACACCGTGGACTATACAGCAGGCAGTGCTGACGAGAGCGAGGGAGACGGCCGTGGCAGGGAAGGCTTCCTGGAGGAGTCAAGCTATAGTTGTATGTACTGGGGGGTGGGAAGGGTTTGTGCAGGAGGGCCTGGAGACAGAAGACCTGCACGAGTAAAGGCTCAGAGAAGGGAGCCAGCTTGCAGAGCAGGAAGTGACATCAGCCCCCTGGGTGGAGAGGCAGGGTGGGAGACTGGGGTGGGATCCCCAGGTCTCACCTCCCCCCTCCCAGTCTCAGCTTAAAGCTCCTGGTTTCTACCTCCCCTGGAGCACTGTCTCTGGAGTCTTTGCTGGCCAATCACTGTCCAGAGCCATGAGGGCTGCCCCTCTAGGAAGCCCTCCCTCACCCCGGGCCAGATGGAGAATCCCTCCCCTGGGAATAGTTCATTCAGTCCCAAGGGAAGGAACTGCTATTATACCCATTTCACAGAGGAGGAAGTTGAGGCTCAGAGAAATGTCAGTATCATCCAGGGTTGTACAGCTGGTGTGAGGCCTGGCTCCTTTGAGCGCTTCCATTACCTCCCCCACCCCCCCGTGCCGGGCACCTGCCTCGTCAGATCTAGTGCTGGGAGGCTGCTGGCTCTGTAACTATCAGCCCCGCTTCACTGGGGAGGAAGCTGAGGCCCAGAGAAGGGCCAGGACTCAGCTGCCACCACACAGCTTAAGATGGCTAAGCAGATTCCGAGGCTAGGAGTAGCTGTCCCCACTCCTGCCACCACTTGAGAAGGACAGACAGGACCGGGACACACAGGTGAGTGGAAGGGGAGAGGCCAGGCCCAGGGCCCAGGATGTGGGCAGTTCTGGAAGACAGGAAACTCGATCAGCAGGGACAGTGAGCCCAGCAGGGCCAGGCCCAGGGAAGTCGAGAGACGGATGGCCTGTGGCAAGGCAGCAGGCCTGAAATGGTGGGGGGAGGCAGCAGGAGGAAGGGGGCCTGGCTGTGGACAACGGACAGAGCTGAGAAGGGGCCGCCGGACAGGCTGGAGGGGAACTGGGAGACCTGGCGGGGGGCACTGCACAAAATCCCAGGGTTCAGGGCACCACCACCCCCGACCCTGCCCGGGTTTGGCCCCAGGTACCTGCCCCTTGGGCTTGTGCTGGAAGTGGGGGTCAGGCGATGGTCACGGGCCTCTCCTACCCCAGAGTCAGAGGGCTTGGCCTCCAACGGAAAGAGCATTGAGACAGTGCAGGTCACGCGGGAAGTCACCCAGTGTGGGCCCAGTGCCCTGGCCCACGTCACACACTCGTCCTGCCAGCGCAGGACGGAAGC